CGTATAGTGCTTTTTCATGTGACTGTGGAGCCTTATTCTTGAGACATACCCGTCCACATGTGTCACAGGTTTGGTGGTACAGGAGCCAGCCATTTTTCATTTGGTATGCTTTTCTTCCATAGCTGGTGACAATGATTTTTCACAGTTCATAGCTTTCTTGGTTACCATCTCTCTCCATATAGTGCAGTCTTGGGCTATGTCTTCCCAGTAGTCAGCATCAATGCTTTGTGTTTGCATTTAATTATATCTACCAGTTTTTCTTAAGCCAGTTGTGATTTGACCATAAAGTAAGACGTTCAGTCAGGATATGATTGCCATCCATCTGGCCAGCATAGGCAGCCTTGTCTGAGGATTGTAAAAATGCTGGGAAGACCTGTTCGAACCAGTATCTTAGTGTTACACACTAATTCTTGACATGTGATTTTCAAGATCCTTTCAGATGTAGCGCAAGTGAAATGACTTAAGTTTTCTCTCTTGTCCAACTATTTAATGTTACTTGTATATTTATCAAGTTTAATTAAGAAGTACCATTCTCATCTTGTAAAGCTTAGACACACTTCATTTTCTTAGTGATATTCAAGATTTTGAGTGCTGTTTGTCATTTTATTTAGATTGGAATTAGCAGACTTATCCTTTGTATACATTTGCTAAGAGAAGATGCTTATGAGAATGAACAAGTTTAGCTAGTCTATTTGTTATACATATGTGTATTATATTTTCAGAAATGGGCTGCCAGTTACCAAGCATTCTGAAGAAACTAGAATTTGGCAGCGCAAAGATGGCAAGTGGCAAAATGTGCATTTTCATAGGTCAGGGTCCCCTACTACAGAAACAGGGAAATAACTGATTGCTCTGTAGATGTCAAAATGATACGTAGGATTATAATTTTCTTTACCTATGAATAAAACTGTATGCTCACTGCCGAGGCTCATTCGTCTAAAATAAGCTGATATTTTATACTTTCTCTTCAAGACAGAGGTCACCCCCAAATCCCAATGTCCTTTTTTTGTCCCATGCTACACCTAACACAAACATTATTTGCCAAAAAAAAAAGGTGTTGGTGGTTTTGTGTATGACTGGGGATGTGGTGACCGGTTGCTGCTGTTAGTGAAAGCAGCTCATATTAGAGAAGCAGCTGTGATGATGTTACAGTGTGTGGAGATTTTGTTTTTTTACAGTTTATTTTGTAAGTTTTTTTTGTTTTTTTTTCAATGCTCCCATTTTTGTTTTAATGGAACAATTTTTTGCGCTTTTTTTTTGTGTCAATTTTTTCCCTTCTGTATTTTCACTGCAAAACTTTGTCAGTGGCAGTATAGAGCATACTGTGTGCATCTGTCAGGTGCAATAGTGCATAGACACTGTTTTCTTTCTCTTACACACTAAGCCCCTCTCCTTCCATTGACAAACAATAACTTAGTGTTACAAGCCATGTATTTATTACACATGTATTACCTGTACCATCATTTGTTGTTGTTGTTTTTTCTCTACTTTCTTGTGTGTATGCTTGTAATGAATCAAAATTATTGAAAACTTTTTTTTTTTAAATGGGAGAATCCACCAAGTGGATGGTTTGTGTCTGTAAAGGGAAAATGTTTGATGGTCTTTTAAAATTGTCTTTTTTTTTTTTAATTCTCTTCAATTTTTTAAACATTTATTTTTGTTACACTGTCTGTTTAAGTGAACACAATCTATATATCTATATATATTTCTATATATATATCTTTTTTCTAATATGGGTTTCCTTTTAAGCTCTAGTCTAATAGGATTGCTCTATACTAAAAAATTATATTTTTAACTCATCACTAGACTTTAGCCATTCTAATACATTACAATAATATGATAAAGCTCATTTTTAATGTGACTGAATGAAATTCTTTTTTGATTTGACTTGTCACAAAAGCCTTTAGTGTTCCTATGACACTGTTCTCAAACATACAAACATGGACATGAATTTGTACTACATGAATGAGGCATAGAAAGGTTGCTGTATAAAGACATAAAAAAAACAATAAGAACTATTTATTTCTTGGTGAAAGTTGTACAGTCTACTAATCAACTTATCCACTGCTATATATATATATATATATATATATATTCATGTGAAATCATTCCTTTGCTTTTATTAACATGATCAAAATAATGTGTTTCACTATAAGCTTGCTTTATCTTCATCGTCCTAAGGTTCTCATCATGTGTACATGTTTTTCTTTCTTGAGAGCTGTTTGTAGTTCTTTATATCCAAATCTATATTTTTATATTAGAACCTTGTCAATCTCACAAGTTTTATTGACTGTCATCTCACAGAGTGTGTTTTCACCAGTTTTTTGTTTTCCTTCTTTCTAATAGTATTTGTGCCAAGTGTGTGCCATTATTAGAGACATTGTAGCCAAGTTTTGTTGGATTGTACATACTTTGAAGTAAATAAATGAAAGGCTCACATTCTGTTGACAAGGCTTTATGGTATTGAGGCTAATCACTTGTTGTCTTTGAATACTGAGCACACTAACAAGCCTAGGAAATACACTAACAAATCTTAATGTAGAGCTACATATGGCTTTATAAATACTTTTTTTTTTCATCCATCTAAAGAGTGTACCAGGTAATACTAAAATCATCAGTGTAACTATTTTTTTCTGTTTTGCCTGATTGGGTACAAGATCGTATTGTTAGAAACCACTTGTAAGTAGGTTGTTACCACTAGAGATAGTTTCTTCACTTGCTTGATAGTATGCATTAAATAATACTTGTGATAAATAGAGAGCTGTAAAGCAGAGAGACATTTCTTCTTGACATCAATGATTGTTGGAGCTAAAGGAAAAGAGAGTACTCTTGACATATCTTTTAAAAATAAAGTTCATTTTGTCTATGTATATACCCCCCCCCCCCCCCTTTATTGTTTTAAAGTCACTCCTTTGTGTAGAGCAGTGACTGGATGTAATCAAATGCAACACTTTGTGATTGTCTGTCTCTCTTTCTATATGCACCAAAAGTCAAGAAAGTGTTTTCTGTTGTATTTTTTCTAAACGTTTCTTTTTTTTTTTTACCTGTTTACTTTAGTCAGTACCACATTTTAGTCTTTGGCTATAGTGTTTGGATTTCAAATTTTCCTGCTCTACTTTAATTCAATTCACTTGAAAAATACAAATAACAAATAAATTCTTGAAATGAAGGCTGTTTTTTGTTTCTTTGTTGTCTTTCTTGTTGTTGTTTTGATGACACACTTTCAAGAACAAATAGCTTAAGCAGATATTAGTAGAATTGTGAATTCTACCCAACTTTGAATGTATTTTCTTGAAAGAAGAGACACAATGATGTGATGAACTCTTGTCAAACTTTGATTCAATAAATACATGCAAATGTTTATTTTAGTGTATTTACTTGTGCACAAAGATTGAATAGCGCCAAACCACAAAAATGTGTCATTTGGACTGTGTCCTAGCTTCACAATGAAACCATATTCTTAAATGTTGTGATAGTGCAGCTGTGATTTTCCAACAAGCATAATTTGTCTCTGATTCTATGTTTTTTGCAAGTACTTGATCCTATTCCCATCTCTATAGAGGACACTCACCTATATCTCACCTTTGAGTATTCTGAGTTCACACAAGTCACAAATCCATGTACATACAATTCAATGGATGGTCAACTATTAAGTGTGTGACACAATTAATTTCTATGCTTCTTAATTTCTCCATCATTACATATCCAAATAGGTTTTTATTCATTACAGGTCCTTTTTAGTTCTCTGCAATACATTTTTTTCTGTGCATGTTTTTTTTTTTAGATTGATTATATTTTTCATATTTATATGTCATTATACATTTTTTAAAATAAATAAAATAATAATCTTCAAGTCCAGGTTTCAACTGGAGATTCAAAAAGTTTATAACTATATTAAATTCTTTCTTAAGTTTCTAATGTAGTATAAACATTTTGGATTGTTACGTCCCCTACTGTAGTACACACAAAACAATGAGTGGATCAATCTCTAATGGTGTTTTATTTTGTACCCTATCACACACATATTTGATATTCTTAGCCCACCCATTTGTCCAACTTCCCCTTTCCCAAGTTTTTTGCTGTTTTATAACTTGCCTATGTCTAATTATCTATCTTTCTCTTTGTCTCTGTTGTCGTTCTGCCCACTACAGCGTTCTTATCTGAAAATCTTTGAACATTTTCAAACAGGAATATCTGTGTTTCACCTACTATGTAAAAACACAAAAAAATTTCTTTATCTTTACTGTTGGTTCTGTACTGGAAAAAATGTGGTGGAAAGTTTTTGTTTAAAGGGTTAATTTTCTATGTATAAATTAATTTATTTCTTGACTTTTTCTTGTGGAAAGATTGTGGTCATGTTTGGTGCACATTTTATTTTCAACTTTCAAGCAAACAAAAATGATATATATCTTTATACATTTCTGTGTTGGCTGTAATATCCCATCTTATCTCCCTTTATTCACTGATCTTGTCCTGCCATGTTGTTTAGATTCTAGACAAATGTTTTATTTCTTGTTTTTTGTTGTTGTTTTTTTGACTGCATGTGAATACTTATTTTGTTTCTGATGTATAACTTTATCTTCCAATACAATGTTGCACTCTTTTCTTTTAGTTTATTTGTTTTAGTTTTGTTTTTAATTTTGTACCAATTTGATGGTATATGTACAAGAAATGGGTCATTCATTGTCTCCCCTTTTCATGGAGATTTTGTTTCCTTTGATTGATCAAGAATGTGAATTTTGGTTTTGTTTTATTTCCTTGTTTTGCTTGTCTGTGTTATATCAGGCAGAGAGCATTACATTAGGTTAAGCAATGCTTATATATAGATTTATGCATACAAATTATTTATATCTATTTATGGGACTGTAATACATATTTATAACAATTTATTCAATTTCGAAAGTTATAACTTCATAATCAGAGTAAAAAATTCTGAATAATTCATTCTGTAGAGTCTTAAATTATTTATTTTTAAACATGTCTAGCAATATTTGTCCTTCTAAAAAAAAAAAAAAAAAAAGATGCCATTTTACAAACAGAATTATGGCACCTCTTATTTAATGGTGTAAATTGTCAATTACAAAAATAGATTATTAGATAGCTACCTATTACAATTCAGTATTTGTTGGTTCTTCAGTGCTCAAAGATGTTATGTATTTTTAATTTAAAAGCGGAGGTCGTTATGCCAATTTGATTGTTTTGACCTGTGGGATGAAGAACTTATTGTATTGAAACCTAGTTTCTATCTTTTTTTTTTCACCAAGATTAGCAACATGATTAAAATATCTTATTAGATGTTAAATAGTGTAGATGCTGTTAGTGATGACTAATTGAATGCTACAGAATTTTCAAGTTCAGCCAAGAACAAATGTCATGTTATTTAGTCGAGAAGACAAAATCTGTATCAAACAAAATTAATCCAAATAATTTGCACTGCAATTTAAAATATTTTTTCTTCAAATCACATTTTACAACTGTGTTGAAATACCTTTAGGTTTGTTCTGTTTGTCATGTGCCTGCGTCTTGTGTACAATGTATAGTCCTCTGTTTGATTTGACTTTTTGGTTTGGCTGCTGGCCACACAGAAAGTTTTTTTTTTAGTGCTTTACATATAGTGTTTCCTTATCTCAAAATAAATCATTTTCAATTGACTCATGAACTCTGCTTCAGTTATTTGCCAATGTCCTTATTTTAATTTACATATTCAAATCTTATATTGGCAGTAGAATCCCGTTTATCAGACCACATTGGTTTGCAATCATTATGGTCCTTACAAGGCTGGTCCGATGAATTTGGTTTGATTTTAGTAGGATTTGTCTGTGTACTTAAAGTTTTGTTCTGACTAAGCAACTGGTCTGATGGTATTCTACTGTCTGAGTGCTGCAAGGGGAAGGTTATATACAGTAACAGAAACTCACAAATGTTGCATTGTACTGTGGAAATTGCAACCTATGTCTGGGCCTTCAAAACCAAATGTGAGTTAACTACAAAGATGGCAGGAGTCAATTATACAAACATCTAACTTCATCAAACACAAACCAAACAATTAAGAATGAAAAACTTCTTGGCATTTGATTTGTCAACATGGCTGTTACCTTGCTTCTACCAGAAGGGTATCATGATGAAGTGCTGGAAAGACAAACACGTCTGCTTCAAGTTAAAAATGGTAGGTTTCAGCAAGGGCTTCTAGCAGTGAATTGTTTTGTTTTTTAAACTTTAAATTATGATTAAAAAGTATCGTAATATATAATACTGTATAGTTAACAGTGTTTCTACAAAGTCAAATACATTTAATGAAACTCTGGTGCCATTTCTCCTCCACTGATAACTTTTGGAGAGCTCTCATGAATGCCACATGACACACATTGAAGAAAGAAAAGACTTTAAAATACAGCATCACATAAAAATTAAAATATGATCTAAACAATAGTCTCTAGATATTTATGAAATAATTTTAAAAAACACAAGGAAGACATTGAATTGATTTCAAACATTTATTTTATTTAATTAAAGATTTATATCTTCTGCAAATATATATACAAATGTATGGTTATTTCCTTTGTACATGTTTGGTTAATTCTCTTGTACATATGCCTGCTAGATGTCTTCTAGAATTGTTTCCCTTTTTACATACATCAAAAAATGAGAGGAAGTCAGGCAAACTAACTTTGGACAACAAATTGTTTTATTACATGGACTAATAAATTCATCTGGTTCAAGACAACTGTGTTCACGCTAGTCAAGCCAGCTAAACTAACTATGCAGTGTCTGTAGAGAGGGAAACTGATGCAGTCCACACAGAGAGACTGTTCCACCAGCCCAGTATCAAGAGATGAACATCTCAGTCATAGAGAACTTATTGAGATCACATCCAACTTATTGAAACTAGTGGCAATGTCATACAATAGAACACACTGATGTAGAACTGTTCAGATCATATGGATGAAGTCACACTATATATAACAATTCAACTTCAGCATAAAATTATTCCAAAAACTTAAAGCTCAGCTTTTACTAAAGTTTTAAAATAAGTCAACATATTTGACTTGGGCTCTTTATTGGGTGTTGTTGAAATTTATATTTTTATAATGGGAACATAGAGTCTTTCGAAATATGTATTTACTTGATTTGTCAAGGCAGATGTTAGTTGTTGTCATATATTATATACATTTTATTATAGTTTCTCAAACATAATGGTTTGTGGGAATATATTATTCCCCTCCATCGTTAACTCTGCTATTTTATTTTATCAGCCTAATGTAGTGTTTTCATAAATCAAAGTACACCAAGGTCCCATGTACTTTAAATGGATTAGCTGGCCCTTGTACTGTCCCATGCGTAACCTTGAGAGCTTGTAGGTTGATACATTGTAATGGGGATGGATTAAAAGTTGGAAGGCACAATCATAGCAATCTATGACGCACAGAAACACTAATCAGTACAAACTACAAGTTTGTTGACCTTTAATTTAAAACCAATTTTGTATGCATATTAAAGATATTTATATTTATCTCCTAAAGCTATGACTGACTTCATTTAATATCAAAATAAAGCTAGTCTAGTGAAAAGATTAATGATAAATAATTTTGTCAACAGATATGTAATATCATGTAACAGTGAATATGAACATTGTAATGCTAGTCAGAATCACATCAGAAATATTGGTAGAAATTGGGCCATTCCAAAAGATCAAAACAGAAAAGAAATAAGCAGAGAATATATTTGTTGGACATTCATTTAAAAGACATGAACACAATATGTGTCCAACAGACTTGTAGACAATCTATGTTCAAGAGACTTGCAGACATTTCTTTAATCAAGTCACAAGCAACAGTTGACCATACTACTTACACACAACAGTTTTTCATACTAACACAATTATCCTATATATAATTTTTTCAGCAGATGTAATACTGGAGCATTTTAGTATTCACATCACAATTTTTTTAAAAAGACAAAATTATGTATATTTAGGGTCTTGTGCAGCAGAATGTGCTACTTTACTAAAAAATGTGAGGTTTATCTTATCTTATTCCCATGGGAGAATTCAGAAACAGGTTACTGTTACATCATGTCCTGTTACAAGTGCATGTGGGTCAAGGGATCATACAAGTCTAGATTTGGAATCAAAATAGAAATTTTCTACATTTCTCTTAGCCTAGAGTCAAAGAGAAGTTCAACAAACTCAGACACATACTGGCAAACACATACACACAGATTGACATTCATACAGCATTTAGAGTTAATAAAAACAACATTCATATTTACATAACATTTGTTTTTCCCTTGTGTAGGCCTATTTGTCTCATTTACTAAGATAGTAGTTCAACTTTTTAACAGGTTGACAACATGGAAAGTTTTATTTTCCAGTCTCTAAAACAAAGCACTACAAGGGACATAAATCTAAAGCCAACTACAACAGACTTAACTAGTGTTCACCAATAAAATACACAAATATGTCAATATTATATATTATTTGTAATATTCAATGTGATGAAGAATAACAGACTACCAACTAGCACACACAAGCACAGACCATTGTATATTTTATGGATGATTATGTATAAAGGCTGAATATTTTGAAACTTAAGTTGTCTTCCTTGATGTTTCCAAGTATCAATAATTCACTGACTACAGCTACAACAATATTTTCAAGCATAGAATTTAAATAAAACAAAAATGCAGGTTTTATAATTTGTAAATGACCCTACAACATCAGTACAATAAGTTGAAGTTGTAAGTTAAAAGTTGATTGATTTAGTTTTTTTTTTTAAATTAACATCAGACAATAACATAAATGAGGGACAAAATTAGTTAAACATTATTAAAGGACAGAACCAGTCCACAAAAATGTACTAGAAAGTAAATAAAAAACATATGCTTAATAAAGATCACAGCACCACTTGAGTACAGTAGAGTTCAGAGTTCTGTGTGGGGCTTATCCAACCAGTTCACACAAGTTCAAAACATAATTACAATAACTTAGATATGGAACAGGTTAAAGAAAAGTCCATGTGCACCAGTTTTACTCCTAGAATCATACAGTATGGCAAACAGATGTTTCTGAATCCAGTTTGCATCCATGCCACAAGACTTCCGCAACTATGAAAATATTTTTAAAAAATATAGAGAACTTTTTATGCAAATTAGGGTTACCAGACATCAAGCAAAAAGAAGACGTCCAGTTTTTTAAGGAGTCGTCCATCCACATGCATGGGCTCATAATGTGAAAATGCCCTGCTTTTTAGAACTGCACTGGCATATATAATCCAACACTAATTCAATACTTCCTATCTTCTGGTTTAAAGATCCATACTCAGTTATAACTGATGTATAGTCATGCTTAATATACCTAAAGGCATGGTGTTAATATTGTTCAGCTGTATGACCACTGCAACTACATTTAGTGTACAGAAAGATGACACATTTTTTCACAAGATGTAGATCTAAATACTTAATGAACAGTGATGACTTTTTGTCATGTTTGTATATATAAGGCAGTTCATGTGAACCATGTTTCTTAGACCTACGCAAGAGTGAATTTTTGGTTTTGAAATAAAAATTTCAATGATCGATGCACAGTCATTACATGGTGGACAAAAGGAATAAATAGGCTCTCCATTGATTCAGTGATAGGTATTCTTCTCTCAAAGAAAACATACCTTTGAGAAATATGATAACATTGTAACTATGATTAGGCAATTTGCTAAATCAAACTGTAAGTCTAGTTTTTAAAGTTTACTTTGTCTTTTATTTTTTAAGGCTGTTTCAGTCCTGCTTAAAGGTGCAGGTGTCTGGTAACCCTAAGAGAAATGACCTTCAATCAACAACAAATTATATGAATAAATGAAATTTTAAAACTCTTCAAAACTTTATTAAAAATGAAATGTAAGACAAAACTGTCCAAGAAACATTTTCTAAATAATTTATTTATTTGAATTTTTTTTTTTTTTGGCTTTTTGCACATTGAGAAATGAGTTTGAAAATATACATGTGTATATTTTTTTTGTAAAATGTTTTGTTTTTGTGCCAGATTCCCACAAAATGTTGACATACTTCTGAAATTTAAAAAAAAAATTATTTAAAGATGAAGTGATAAATAAATTAACAAAATAAGCTCAAATAAAATGAATAAAGGATTTAGATGACTGTAAATATTGTGATCATTAAGGCTGTTTGTGGAGTTTGAATTTACATACTAGGACATAAACTCTACAAAACAATTGTTCTATGTAGTTTCACAAATAAACCGTTTACATACAAAATGTATGTGAAGATAAGCCTCTATCAAATTTCTTTCTTACATATTGGTGTTAAAGTTTTTATGCATTTTTGAAAAGCAAAAAAAGACTGTGAAATAGATTCCATGTTTTGCCTTTCAAAATATTTCTTTTTTTGTTTTGTTGTATCTTGATAAGGGTTTCTTGGTACACATAGACATAATAATAGTAGCATTGTTTTTTGTCTGGTCCATAGTTTAGTCTGTACACCACAGTTGACTCTTCCTTTTCTGTTGCATTACTAAATGCATTTCTAAATCTTTGGTTTGAAAGGGGTGGCAGCCCCTGTGTGAATGATGATGATCATTCTATAAGGTGAACACCTCGAAATAGTCCATATGATGAGAAGAAAACTGGTTTGATTTCTCGAA